CGCTTTGGGAGAGAGGTGGAAGGTGTCTTGAAAAACGACAAATGTTCTAATTGTTACTTCTTTCCTGAAGTTCCGCCCAGAATAAAAAATCCGCCCAGGCGCAATGTGGCTCGGGAGGGAGGGGTTTACGGACTACTTGAACTTTCTTCCATGGTCCTGCCACGAATGGCGGAGGGCACAGACAGTTAGAGAACGGCGCCTGGCTCGGCTCCAAATCCCAAGGAAGGAGGTGAGAGCCCTAGGACTAAGCCTTGTAGGAGGGAGGGACTTCGAGGTGGGTGAGCCAACTACAGTGTGGCAAAAGTTTGAATGTGTGAGATCACAATGGTCATGAGCCGCTGATAAGGTGAGAGAGCGCAGACGAGAGATGGATCTGAGGCGGCTTAAAGGACCGGGTTCAAGTAGTCCGTCAGCCGGGAGGGGATAGGGAGGACTCTGTAGAAAGGCCTCTCGGACTAAGCCTAGGCAGCAGGGACGAACTCCGGAGAATACGAAAATTGCTTCCGCATACCGGAGTCTCTCCCCTCTTCAAAGGCTTAGTCCTGAAACTGAGCTTCTCCGTAATCTTGACACGGTGTTCCGAGCTACATGTCCAAAACCACCTCCACAGTTCACCAGTGGATTAAATGCACCACCAACAACAAACCATCTACAGTAAAAACGGTGTTATGAAACGAAATTAGGTCTACTGACTTTTTCGAGTCTTTCATCTGTCATCAAAGCATAATGTGACCGTTGCTGAATTCCAGTCCTCCTCGTTTTGAAGACCTGAAATGCAGATAAAGAAAACGGATGTGTCTAACAGATAGTGAAACCGTCTACCTTTTGCTCAAGGTCCATACCAGTTAATTCAGTGAGGAGTCGCTGAACTTCAGGATTGATGAAAAGTTTTTCAGCGTCCACTGTTTTACCTGATTCAGGGTCGGCACTGAAATCCATGATCAGAAGGAAAACATCAACGAGAAAAGCAATTTTAAACGTACCGTGCTCTGTTCACCCAGGCGGAAGCGGAACGATACTGCTCCGCAGGCAGAATATTCAATTGTAATATTCTTCGCACAAGTTTATACATAGTTACTTGAAGTTCAACTGACTATACAGAAAAAGTAAAAATAATTACATTCGCAGGCCCGCACGAAAGAGAAACCGTACCAAATCCTGAAAAATTGCAACTCGTTCAAAATACCTTAAAGGCCGTATCACTGTTAGGATACAACGATAAACGACACCAGAATGAATCTGCATATTACCGTAGACTTGATGAAAGGAAAAAGAAACGAATTTGGAGCTTCAAAGGAAGAAACATAAAAGAAAACCACCCTGAACCAACGCTGAAATTTGCAGGCCTGGCGTCGATTATGTTACGCGTGCCGCAGCCACGTACGTTTACCGCGACTTTACCCGTGTAGTAGCTAGTGTTCGACAAGCTGGAGGAGGATTGAGAGGATTGTGATACGTTATCTGCCTCTGGACAAATATCGAGCTCCGTTCATTGCCACTGCTCACAGAGCATTATCCAACAAGGGGGGGGGGGGTGAGTATTGTTGGCGAAAACTACCTGCCGTCACTGTGGTTTGGTTCATCGCCATTATCTGACACTGGCTTACCAGGAAGGTCTTTCAGGGCGTGACGAAGCTTTTTGAAAACGGTCTTTTGCATGATATAGGGGCAGATGCGGGGACCACAGAACCATGTTTAATTTTTCCTGAACGGCCCTCTGAATACCAGAAAAGGGGGTCCCTAGTTCGATTCCTCTTGGTGACAAATTTTTGCATTTCGAGTTGACGTTCCAAAATTCGCGCAAAATGGAGTTCTGATTGTTCTGGTTGGTTCTAACTCCATTTTGCGCGAATTTTGGCACGTCAACTCGAAATGCAAAAATTTGTTACCACGAGGAATCGAACTAGGGACCTCCTTTTCTGGTATTCAGAGGGCCGTTCAGGAAAAATTGAACATGGTTCTGTGGTTCCCCGCATCTGCCCCTATATCATGCAAAAGACCGTTTTCAAAAAGCTCGTCACGCCCTGAAAGACCTTCCTGGTTAGCTTTGTTCACTTCGTCGTCTGATCGTAACGACGTAATGACGATCGCAGCCAGCATGGATTGCGTATCGATTGTCAACGTTCCACTGGATGGTCACACTCGCTATTGACGCTGTGCGATCGTTAGACCGTTTACGATCGGTGACCCTGTCCCTACACGCACTTCCTACCCTCCAATTTGCAGCCTTCTAATCAGTAAAGATGGAGTATGTGATGCAAAAGTCGGCACGAGCTACTGTAATGTAATCCCAATCTTTGCGCAGGAAAGACTTCCCTAGTGAGTGGACCATACTTCGCTTTTGCTTTTGCACCGATCCCAGAGCACCCTCTTTCTGCGAAAATTTAGCTTACTGTAGGCACCACGAACTATGGCGCTAAATGACCTGCTATTTGCGTACCGTAATCCCCTTTTGGGGGCGGGGCAAGTTTTTTTACTCTACATCCTGAGGTGAAATTTGACAGCCGCATGGTCCGTGCAGCTTGGGTAAACAGCGGTGACGGCAAGCCCCTGGAAAGTTGTGGTAGGAATTACTAAACAGTTGTCTCGGTGAGGGCTCGCAGACGAGGAGAGGGCATAGGCCAAGGGGTTGTGAACGTGCTTCTAAGTATGCACATACGTGTGCCTCGTTTAAGCCTATATCAAGATCGAGGACCCGTCGAGTAGGCATATTGTCTGCAAGTGGGAGAAGGGTGTTTGTGATGGTCCCTCGTTTTGGCGAAGCACGAGAGTCGTATGAGTGGGATTAGTGTAACGGTGGGAAGTGAGCTGCATGTTGGAATGGTAAGTTTCCTCAACCATATTATGATGACTGATTCAGCTTGCAGCCAATATTGGCTACACTTTTACTGTGCCGAAATTTCGTCGTTTCGGCTTCCACAGGGATGGTTTACAGAGACTGGTAAGACGAAACTGATCTGAGAAACTACTCCTCAAACACATTTCGGCCCACAGAAGTCCTCCAACCAAGCGCAATCCTCAGCAGCCTGATGTCAGACTTTGTGACTCGCAGCGAATTCGCTTAATGTCTGCGGACGCGGCGCGTCAAGCCGAATGGAGCACTCGGCACTAAACAAAGCGAAATAACTTTCATTCACAATATAATCATTGCCTTAAAGGACGAATTCACGCTGAAAGGCAACCCATTTCAAATTAACCTAGGGATGGTGAGTGGTACACGAAAGAAGGAAGAACCATGAGAAACGGCCCAGAACCCGAGAAATGGGACCCCTTCCTTGCCCGTTGATTCGAGCATTGATGCGACTCTCTCATCACTCTCCAACGTATAGGTCTGCGGCGAGTGCTCAGATGGTCGCCCAAAGCGCCAAGATTGAGCCATTAGGTCGTCGAAGTCAACTCCTCGGTGCCAATTGCGTCAAGTCCGCAACCCTTAGAGTCCAACGGCCCTAAGGTGAATTACCTTCCTAACTAGTAATTCCACCTTCCCTCACCTTTCCATTCTATCGTGAAATTTCGTCTTTTGAGGCGACATCATGGAAAGCTTGAGAACAAACATTTAGATTGGCTAAAAAGGTCTAACCTGGACAGTAAGCGAGTGAAATCCATGTTTAGAGAGCCGAGCTATCTCTAGGTTTCTGGCCATTTGGCACTCGTTACCTATTAGCTTATCATCGAAAGCCTGGTCGTGTAGGATGGATCCAGTATTTTGGCCGTGCAAATGAAAAATGGACACTTCAGGCAGATGGGTTGGAAGCACCATTATAATTTATGGCGCTGTTTCAATACAGCGGCTGTGAACCAGCCAGTTCACTCCCCATTATAAAAAGGTGAAGGATAAAGCATTTGCCGGTGATCAATCCCTTTTTGGGATGCGGCACGCATTCTACTTCCATTTGTACATTCGTAGTGGCATTTGAATGCGATGTGGCCTATACAATGACTTGCGGGGCAGTTTAATTCACCGCTGGGTTAGAAGGTTCGTTAGCTCGAGCGACACGCGCAACCAAAGGATTTGATCTCCGGACAGCGCCCGGTGTACAGCGCGCCCGCTTGCACTTCATCCTCTGCATTTTCCCATTCATACTCACTGAAGCTGCGCTTCTGTGTTCTGTAACCACGCTACTCACATTGCAAACTCGTCTTGTTTTGAGCCGCTCAACTTCCATTCTGCTAGTTCCACCCGCTGTCACCGTCCCTTCTGCTAGAATTCCTCCATCATCGTATCAATCATATGTCAGAAATGTCATGTGACCTTCATCATACTGGTTTTTGGACCCCGTCTTCATGTGTTGGCTCTGACGAAAATCAACTGCCAATAAGAACGAGTTGACGCAATACTGAACAGCTTTGCTGTGATCGTGGGCACTTCTAGTCAACTCGATAAAGGAAGCATAATGCTTCGTCATTGGGTAGACATAAGATGACTGCTCGAGTCAGCCACTGAATACGAAGTTATAGGGGTAGTGTTAGTTGGAGGAGTCATCATAAACTCTGGCAACATCGGTCTAGAAAATTTAACATCTCAACCAGTTCATCAGTCTTCTAATCGAGCACATGACTATGTAAATCGAAGTGATCTTTTTCACGGTTCTAAACATTCGCTGCAGCAAACAGCCCGGAAATGAACAAGGTTTATGCTAGAAGCCCAAAGAATCAACTCAAAGGCAAAGTCCCAGGATCATACTTTTTAACTGCGCTTGAAAAGTGACAGTGAAGATGTGAGGTGTGGAGCCAGTAATAAAAAAAAACGAGAGCACAAGGCTGAAAATGAGACCAGGATCAACAGTGAGTTGCGCCGTCCTCAACCAGGAAGACGTATTTGAGTTTTTTTTGTAGAAAGGCGGCGAGTAGTATCTCATCCGCGCCCTTTCTTCAGCTTGACGCCGTTCGGAGGGGAATGCTGAACTGGCTGGGAATAGATAACACTAATGGAGGTCTGGTGGATCGGGGTAATGGGGAATGGGGACGTGGTCGTACTGGGAGGCTTTCCTAAGTGTGATGGTGGTGGTGAAGGGTCGTGTCGAGACTCTCTCTAGAGAAGAGAGGTCGTGAAAGTTTTGGTAATTGGAACAACGACGGTTGACCCTGAAAGGGGCCCTATTCAGTAGCAGCGGAGCGAAGAAGCATCGACCTGCAGGCGGATGTCATTGCTGGGTCTGGCGAAGGCGTGATGCTTCCTTGCATGATGTGCTTTCTTGGGCATGAGCGTCTCAGCCTTGTTATCGTGACCCCGTGTGGATACATGCTCTAAACTCGCTCATCACTCCATGCAGGGCTTTATTTCGCCCAACACCTGGACTTCGCCCCTGAAGAACCCTTTGGGCAACCGTTCATGGATCTTCGAAGATCACAGACAACATAGGTTCTACAATTACTTTGTGGTTAATACATTTTCACTAGAAATTTGAAATTTATGCGAAGAAACATTGCATTCTTCATGACGTATCACAGCATCGGTACGCAATATTTCACGAGGCGAAACGTATTCTCTGCTTCAAAAACGAGAAAGCGTCGGGTGCAGACCACACACCACAAGTGACGACGGCCTCCACAAAATGTAAATGTTTTCTGCCAATGAAATGATTAGCCTGTTGCAGTTGTATTCTATCAGTTGTCACTAATTACAACTATCATTTATGAACTGCAGGCTATCACTGTGAATCACTGGTTATCAGATTTTGAGGCTCGACGCGCTTCTGCTTTTCTGAAAGAGGGTGTATCCCCACCCTGTGATGTAGTGTCGCGATTGGGTTGGCATCTACAAGTGTCATATCAGAAACGGAGGGTTGCAGAAGCAGTGTCACATTGCTCTATTGTCCCAATATTTCTGTGGCATAATGAAAAAACCAGTCAGCTGCAGCTAACAAATGCTCTCTATCCGGTAGGAACTGCAAAAAAAACTAGTGGAAAGCTAAAGGATCTTGATGGGAAACGATGAGTGTGCAGCACTATATTTAGCACAAAAGCGTTTACTCTGAAGTTGTTTGATAGCTTTTATGTTTGTAGATCACGTTCATTTCGTAAACAGAAGTCTTTAATGTACAAGGAATTGTTATTGTTCCTAGTCCTAAT